AAAAAAAAAAAAAAAAAAAATCACACTTGAAAATCACGTTGAAAATTTTAAAAACTATATAATATAAATATAATTGATTACTTCCTTTGGCTTGTTATTCGTTACGAACATTTATGAATACGCAGATTATAGAAGCGTTTTAAATATTCAGATTATAGGATCGTTTTAAATATTCAAGAGGAAAATTTTTAATGAATTTTTTTCTTGTTTCTTCATCTAATCGGATGAAATGCGCTCTGTCACGTAGCGATCATCGAGCACATCCATCATTTCTGCCGCGTATTAGCTTGCTATCTTAATCGATTAAGAAGTAAATCATATTTCCACGTAACGGACGTCATCGACCGATTAAGTATCGCGCGTTGCACGTGAGCCGCTCGAAAAACTTGAGATCATCACTTATTGTGTCATAGATGCACGACAAAACGATCGTCAAAGTATATAATCTTTCACAAGTTACTGACCTTTTTTTTTCGCTTCTTTCGCCTTTTTTATCTCTCTCGATCGAGAAAAGTTTTGTTAAAACGGGAGAATTTACACAAATTTCGAATCTCTTTTTTGTAACAAGAATTAGAATCGCGTGGAGATTGATCTCTTGCAAAATGTGGATAGATGGATTTAGGGAAGATTGAATGATCCATGATTTAGAAAAATTCCAATTTTGATTGTCTGAATCTAAGTCTGAATCTAAAGCTTAAAATCAGCAATTTCCTCCATTTAAAGCTGAAATTTCAATTATAGGTATCTTCTAAATGCGGAATATTGATTCTCTCTATTTAAAGCCGATAATTCTGCATTTAAGCCTAAGAATTCGAACGAAAATCTTCTATTTAAGATTCCAGCTTTTATTGTCCAGTCTAAAGTCCCAGGTTTGCCAATTAGATCTGAAACTTGAATTTCCTCTGTCTAAACTCTAAAGTTCCAAATCTCTCTTTTCAAAGTTAAAAATCTCGGTTCGAAATTCCTAAAGTCTCAGTTTTCTCTGTACAAAACCTGAAACCTAAAATTTTCCTTAATTCTAACATCAAATTTCCTCCATCCAAATCCAAGATGTAAAACCAAAAGAATTTTAAAACGTCGTATAAATCGCGAATTCTTTGGAACTTCTCTTCAGAATTCCATTCACGCATCACGATCCACTGCGTTCTCTATCTGCCTCCTCGGTTCAGATATCGCGCGAATGCGACCACGTCCGATGATGATGATGGCCCGTGTTGCATCAGAGCCTCGATAACCTTGGACTAGCTCGCATAGTCAGGACGACGTAGCCAGCCGTAGTTCCTACGAGGCCAAGGGAGGACTCAGGACTCCTTGTCTCCTGCAGCCACTGTTCGTGCAACGCAACTAATTAAGCAATCACAGTCATTATCAGCGCCCGTGTCAGATGCATCGTCAACCTGTAACAAACAATTATTCTTTCGACGTACAGTTACGTATAACGATGGATTTTATTATACTTTATCGTGCAACATTAGCTTGCTCGTGTAAATTTTTATTTCTTCCAACTTATCGGAGCGAGTAATATTATTATTTTTAATTTGTTATCGTCGTCGGCTCGCTCTAACTTTCGAACTTTTATCCATTCTAAATTATAAATATCGTTGGAAATTGTCTAGAAATTTACGATCATCAGCTCGTTATATTGGTTGTAACTCCTGCCAAATTTTCATTCCACTCGTTGAAGATCAACCCGCCACCGATTGTTGCAGTTATCGAGGCTTTCTTTATTTTTACAACATGATTTATGCGAGTAGGTCTTCAGCAAAATTACGCAAGATGACGAGTTATTCTCCGCGCGTAGAAAGGCGCGAAATAGCGTTAGATCAAAGGAAGATCCGCGTGGCGCTATTCACTATTGACGTAGACACGGATGCTCCGGAGGCCTTTGCGCGTTTCCGATAGCGGAACTCTGGTCTATAGAACCGATGAAGCTTCCTCCACGCGTGTCCCGCGTCAGGCTTATTTGTCTCTCGCGTAAACTCAACGAGATCAAACGACTTTCACGGTGGTCCGAGAGTCTCCTCGCGCTCTTT